CCCCCGCCCTCGGCACACGCCGCCCCCGAAGACCCCCGGCACCCACAACCGCGCCGCCCCGCATGCCAACCCCGCCACCGCAACACCGGCTAGCCAACCCCGACACTGCGGCCCAGCATACCTTCCCCGCCCCCGCGCTGGGCCAACCCCGCACCCGGCAAGGGGGGTCCGCGCCCCCGGGGGGGACCCCAGGGAGGGGCATTTTCTGCAACATACAAAAGGTTGCCAGGGGCTGCACGCCGGCGGTGCGCAACCCCCCGTATTTTATTTTATTTTTTTTTCCCCTGTCGGGGCCGAGGTGCCGGGTGCCGACCCCCGGAACCCCAGAGCCCCGGCGGGGTCCCGGGGTCAGGGGTTGACAGCCCTGGTGCGTACGAGTGGCAACGCATAATATTGGTCTATAATTCCTGATGTTTGTCTTATCCTTTTTTTTGTATAGTAAGATAAGTATTCCTTGACTCACTATTTCACCCATTTGCCTGACTCCCAAACGTCCTGAAAGTATTGCATTAAGTCTGATGAAAAAGAAAACCACATAGTTTCTCAAAACTCTTTAAGAAGATCATCCACCCCCGGAGTCTTTTCTTCTTCCATTTGTATTAGAGTTGTCCAAATTTCATGTTTAGTTAGTGGTCTTTCTAAGAGGTCCCTTTGATTGTTTGTAATAAATTTGAAAAGTAGTTCCAGGAAGAGACAGATGGTTTGATCATCCTTCTGAAAACAGATGGGGTCTTTGGATGAAAGAAATAGTTTTTAAAAAAAATAATAGGCAACTTTCAAATTAGTTGCTACGGATGCTAGTACCGAGGCGTCTAGGGATACCTCAGAATAAAATAAACTTTCTATGAATGAGTGTTTGGCTCGTGACTGAGCCATTGCAAAAAGGATGTGTTCATCTGCCCTTCAGAAGAGAATTTTGATAGCTTGCCTCTGATTAGTTGTTTCTTAGATTCATCATTTAGATTTTTTTCTTGAATATGCATTTCATGTAGATATCTATTTTTTGCCTGTAATTTTGAATACTCATTACACTTTTTCGCAATGAACACCAAACCATTATTGAACCATGAAATGTAGGAATCTTGTTTCTCTCTTGTTGATTCTCAGTATTCCCACAAATTTGTTAAGTATTTCCTGAATTGACTGTGAGATAGAAGAGATGTATTCAATTTATAAAACCCCTTCCCTTAGTCTGGTTTTTTCTTGAAGGATAAAAGTACTACAAACATTTTGTAATGAGCACCAATCCATGGACTTTGCAAAAAAATAGTTGCCCGAACGAGAGTTCTATCTAGATTTTCTAATAATAATTTTCAGTCTATTCTAGATCCAGATTAAAGTCGATTTTTCGGGTTACGTATACAAGTAAATAGCATTTCTCGAGGAAAAATCATTCGATAAGAGTCAAAAAGGTGTTCATTTTCACACAAGGTTTGTATGATATTTTCATCCTCTTCTATATAAGGAGGACATGGCGAAGGAATCTTCCAGCGATCAAGCCATCTATCCGGAGCAGCATTGAAATCGTCCGCCATTACTAAGGGAATCCCTTCTGGAATATGCTTTCTAATATTATGGAAGAATTTGACTCTTTCTTCTATATCATTAGGACTATATACATTAATTACACATATGGCATCTAATTCAAGTTTTAAGATAGTTGATATCTAGCGATCCTACTCTTTATCGCCCACCCACTGAATTATCTCTACCCTGGAATCAGATGTGACCCAAATAGCTACCCCAGTCGAGCCACTCCTTGGAGTCGGGGCACTAAACTTATTGGATGGCCATATCATGTTATAGGGCTTAGTGTGAGTAGGGAAACTAGTAAGATGTGTTTCCTGTATGCATATAATATCGCATCATGTTCTTCCCCCAACCCCTTTCATTGCTCTAATATAGCCTCTCTCTTTTCCACATCTGTTGTAGCTAAACCATTGACCTCAAGTAATCGAAAATCCATATCTGCAGTTTTTGTTGCATGGTCCCAAGATGAACTCTTACCATAATATGCTTGTAAAGCCTCCATCTAACCAAACTCTTATAAAAGAATCCCCCCCCTCATATTGCCTTCAAGGCGGATTCAATTACCGTTGTCTAGGTCTGAAGCGGATTGCAAGATTCCTCTTCGCAAAATAATGTTGAGAAAGGCAACCACATCTGAGGTAGATCATACAACATGGACTTTAATTTTGAAACTTTATAGCTCTAATAATGCTACATGGAAAAACCATATCAAACCTGTTTTTTCTGTTCTTGAAAACGAACGAACGAGTTCCTTTTAGTTATATGAGCCTTATCCCCAATCTCTGTGAGAGTTGTTTGAGGACCAGGATCGTAGTGTTTTATCAACAAATCATGCATATCACGTTTGAATGTATAATCTCCTACACTTTGATATTCAACATATGTTGACCATCCTCTCAATGTGATTCCCCCATATTGGTCTTGACCAATTGGCGAGAGACTCACTTTCCATCTATCCCCTTATTTTCTTACCGGGACAATCGGATTACCCTTAGACGGTTGTGGTTTAACCGCGTGACCCCTTTCCGACTCATGCCTCATTTTTTGTCGTTTGCTTGAATCGTGCGTCACTGGTGTAGGGAAGGAGACCAACACTTGTGAAGGAGTGGAGTGATGTTGTTGTTGCTTTTGCTGATTTCTTTGTATGTCTATCTCTCTGTATTTGTAATCTCTTGTTTATCCTGCTGAGGTGAGGCCACAAGCAGATTTGGAATTATGGTTGGGTTAGTGGCCGGGTTGATCTGAGACGCAAATGAATGGACAAAGATCGTCATCTAAAGTGGCATTATTCCCCCTTGGTCTTGCTTCGACAAATTATGTGTAGGTTCCTCTTCATACTGTTTTCCCTTCCCCTGTTGTTGAGGGGGACAACACTGCACATGTGGTGACTGTTCCTGGGAGGTCACCTCTTGCAAGGGCTCGTTTGAAAAAATTCGTTGTTGATGCAAAGTCTGCTACGATGAGTGTTGAAAGTGAGGAATCTGATTGGATTGTCCCAATTCGTCCTCCTCATGTTTTACTGGGAGGGAAGGCTGTTAAAAACACTGACCCTGTCTCTCCCTTATTATCTACCCCAGAAGAGAACTGGTGAGGTAGATTATCCCACACCGATTGAACCCTCGGTACTTCCATCTCATGTTTCAAATCTAAGGATTCCTAAGTCTGCAGCAAGGGAGGGGATATGCCATCAAACTTTATTGTTACCAATGCAGATGTCATTACCCCTTCCCTCTC